GACAAAGTGAATTAACGTTAGTCAAAGGACGAGTTAGGGAAAACTTGATCGATATCTGTATTGAAAATACTGTAAAACTTTTTTGGGAAGAGAATAACGGCGAATCGATAATTAGGTATTTGGCTAAATACTATCTCTATATTTACGTGCTATATAAAAATTCATACTGTGCACCGAGGAGAAAATAATTTCACGGCGAAACGTTAATAACGCAATGCATTTCTCGATAAACGTGTGACATTTTAAAACGCCTCTGTACTTTTTATAATCCAACTTGTAGTTCATTATTGTTGGAACGGAAGGCGGAGAGAGGGAGGAGCGGGGAAAAAACTCAAATAAATAGGTAAACAATTGCAAGTCTTCCAACAAACATGGACGTTTATACATATATTTATTTTTGCGTGTGCATTTGTATGTTAAACATGATAGTCGGATATCGTGGATGGCAGTAATCACATCATATCGTCTAAATTGATTAATCGGGAAACGCGCTTAATCAATTTCGACCATATGATACTAATTAGTGAGGTGGAGGGAGGGAGGGAGGAAGGAAGGGAGAACGAACCTAATTAATCAATTATTCTAATCATTGTATTTTAGAAAAGGGAGACTTTTTAATTGCAGTGGTTGCCCTATATGAAAAGAGAATGCTTACGCGTTCATGTCTGTACGTTATTCCTTATGTTGAAAAATGTAACAATAACCATTTATTTGACAGTCGTTACAAGATCAATATCAGAAATAATTATTAATATTTATATCGCTCAACAATTGTATATCATACGTACAGAGAAGAAAAAACCTCTCTCTCGCGCGCGCGCGCGCTTCACAATGCTGCTAACTGAAAAACATAATAATATCCGAATAAATGTTTCCGAGCTTTTTCACGTGCATATGATTCAATTTCTGGCGCAAATTGCCTGACAGAAGCAAAAGGCCACGTCAGCGGATAGACATCGTAAAGGACGCGTTATACCGATGCTCGAATTGAATCATCCGTGAACGAATGCTTCTCTGTGACCATTTATATCGAGTTCTGATGTAAAATAAAAACCTTGTTATACAATAATACGATAATATGATGGGGAGAAAGAGAGAGAGATTCTCACGAATGATTTCGTTAACCGCGAGAAAGCACTGTTTTAATTAATTTAACTCGAGGCAGAGGTTTGAGTGCCACTTTCTGTATCGGTACTAGAGAGAGATGCCTTTAAAACAACCTCTCAGAATCTCAGTCGCTCTTTTCGATTTCGAGCGACGGCAATGGTAGACCAACCCTCTCGCGCCAACATATATTCGACTCTTTATTTTACAGGAATTTTTTAACATTTATTTATGTAATTGATTTATGTAATATGAGAACTGACATAAATTCTTTCGTTTTTCTTTTCGTATTATTATACCGTAAGAATATATGAATAGTAAATGTAGGGTTAGAAAATCACGATTGCATGATTTATACGATATTAAATCAATCGAAAAGAGAAATGGCGTGTCAAAATTTAGATACGTCTCTTTTTTCCGAAATTTTCTGCTTTCTACGTTTGATAATTACAAGGTACACGATCGACCGATGATCGTTGATCGTGAAATTTCCGATTCCGTATATTCTTGGTTTTGGTAGAAATATATATCGATAGAAAGTTTCCAGCGAGAAATGACTCGTCGATCGACGAATCATGCCTTAGCGGGTCTCCAATACAAGTATGTTCGGACGTGTAACGAAATATCTACATGAATTATTTATATTATGAATATTATTCAAATTAAGGAGATTAAAAAAAAGACATTCATATAATTGTAAATCGCAATAATCGCTTGAGATTACAAGATGATCCCACACTCTATGTGAAAATGCAAAAGACTCGTGCGTAATGATTTCCGCGTATAAATTGTCATGTAATTATTAACTGCATGAATATAAATTATATATTTATCACAATCTGAATAAATTGTTAAAAAGACTTGTGCCTGCGTAACTTTAGTCTTTATATTTGACATTTTTGCAACATAATATTTTGGATGAAACTAGTAATAAATTTATGTGCGTGCATACGTATGTGAAATTCATGATATTGGAGATGTTTGTAATTACCATATTATGTAATTACCTTTTACTTAAAGATTAATAAAGCCGTCAACTTCCTCAACATGTTTGCCTGCGTATGCGCATTTAATTTCACTTTTGTGTGAAACTTTGCATAGTAGAAATGTACCCTTAATTCAGCTTTTGTGCGAATGCCGAGTTGCAGCTGTTACCGTTTATTTCCCTTACGGACCTGCAGTGAGCACTGGTGTTGCTCTTTGTTCCTTTGTCCGGTACTTTGAAGCCCTGTTCCGCTTTGACGCAATAATCTCACCATTTGGAACCATCAATACCTGCTAACTTTTTCCAATATTCTCAGCTACCATGGCAACTGAATTTCAAGCTTATTTTTCAATTTAATTACTTATTAGAAACATTAATATACGATTTAGCAAGAATCGTATTTTTAAGTCAGCCCCTAAAAAGAGGGAGTGGTAAATTTGAATGAAATATTCTTTACGATTTGTCTCTTGGTCCATTATTTCTTATTACTTTCTCCCCTTTTCTCTCTCTTTCTCTGCCCCTTTATCCATCTTCTTCTACTTTCCTTTCTTTCTCTCATTTCGCTCCTCGTTCCGTTTCTTGTATTATTAATATCTTTGAAATGGGATACTTATCTACGTATGCGTAACAATATTTTAAGGGAATATGTACACTGAAAATAATTGGTGTTTCCATCTTTGGAATTTTACAGGACTGTACAAAACATTGTTAGCGCATCTAATTGGCAAAGTTTCGCTCATTATCATGGAAAAGGAGAAAAAGAAAAGTTCTTTGCTTTAATCGGAATTGCAACTGTTGTAGAATAACTCTTTAGAACCTTCAACGGGGATTTTTCGCAAAATTGACATATTAGAAAAAAATACCTAGTATATAATGCAGCACACAATAAATAAAAATACTTGACTATTTATTGATAAATATCAAAAGAAGAATTAGAAAGTTAAGTGTGCCATGTGAAAAGAAAAATTTACAAAGAGCACCACAATTGTACAAATTGAGCTTTTCCGATGATCGACATTATATTGTAAATAACTGCTTGAGACGATAAATAGGATAAATTTGTCTTTGACGATATACTAATATACATTTAGTGCATTTCAGAATGTGGTTATTGCGGGTATCAATATCCAATCTAGCGTCGACAATTTGATATTCCTATAAAGTCACAGCACACGAGCGCGCGTGACCACTGCTTTATGAATTTCCTCCCTCCGTACTTTGCTATATACCTATTATATATACCTATGTTCATATATCGGCTGTATCATTAAAGCTTTCCTCTTACGAGGTGCGATGTGTTACTTATTGTCAGTATCGGACCGTTCCGTTCCATGTATCGCGATAGCTTCGTTTGCTTTTTGTGTTGAAACGCGGCTCTTTAATTCTTTATTATCTAACTCTCAAGTACTTGTTCTTTATTCAAGCTACTTTTGTATAGATGGATATGTTATATTTAAAAGTAGACAAATTCATTTTAATAATAATCTGAACCTTAAAGAAAAAGAAATAGTTTAGTTTTACGTATTAGGAAATAATTTTTTCAGATTCTTATTTAAAAATATTGTATTGTACACAGATACATTTGTTAATAATCTCGACATTCTGTACAGTACACGATAAAATTTCGGCACAAAATCAAAAGAAAAGAAATTTTCTTCAATCTTTCGCGTATTATTTCCTAATCTTTTATATATCGGTTAGGTGCGCCAGATGCAGTTCATATACTCATGCGAGATCACGTGTCGAGAGTAGGCCGATCTAGATACAATTCTTTCCAAGGCTTTCTATATTGTAGATATAACTTTCGTAACTCGAGGAAAAACAACGCGCTATAATATATAAGTTAACAGTTTAATTGAAAACGATATTTCCAAGTTTTCTGGCATTTCTGGCGATGTTTATGCAGAAAGTATAATATATGTATATTATTCGACTCTTATAACCTAAATAAAAACTGAGGTGTTTTGTCATTTTTTAGAATAATCCACTCTATAGGAAACGTTATATAATATTACATTATTCGATCAAATTACGATTGGTTGAAGCTAAAATCTAACTATAGCTTTGTCGAGTCTTGACCACGACTATACCGGCCTTAATTTTTTCTTTCCGATTACTACGTCCGACTCGTGTGCAAAATAAATCGCGGCTAAATAAACGTTAGAAGGATATTTGTGAAAGTCCCGAAAGAATCTAACAATCTAAAGGATAATAACGAAAAATGTGGAAATTGATACTAGAAAATGTTTAACGTTCAACAAATACTTGCTGTTTGATGAGAAAATGTTCAAGTCTAAATTCTCATCTTTCTAGACTAGATGGACTACATTTGACACTGTGTCCTATGAAAAGAGAATTTCGTGACATTTTTTCAAGGTGATTTATTCAAGTCACGTTATTACGCAAAAATACTTTTACGGCTTTGAAAACTTTAATTGAATTAAACTTTGCCAATATAGAAACTTGCTTTGACCGAATCTGGATTAAGACTTTTGTAGATTCTCCCCCTCTCTCTATCTCTGCAATATCAGCCGACTTAGTGACGAGCTTGGATCATATTGAGGAAGCTGAGATGTATCGTAACAAGACTATAATCCATCACTTAAGCTGAGGTTCAACGTCGTCAGCGATATACTCGCAAATTTTAAGAAAATTTCGTTTGCGGAATTAAATCGTGCAACATGTAGACAATAAATCGATATTATCGGTTTTGACATATTTATAATGGATTCCATAAAACAAAATTTTTAATCGATTTGAAAACATAATGCTTATTAATATTTCCTTGCAACTTGGCAGTTTGTCAGCTTGTCTCTAAGCTTGGTCGTAATTCTAGATCGCTATTCTAGAAAATGTCTTTCTAACCGTTTTGTAAATATGCTAAACATTGTATAAAGGCGCGTGTACTCACGAGTGTTATCGTAAGGTATTCCGTTGAGCTCGTCGAAGCAAGGGATAGTAGCCAAGGTGCCGGGAAGCGTCCGGGGCCAGCACAGTATGGCGTCCCAGCTCACTTGGCATTCTAGCTGTTCCTGCTTCTGGTTTTCGCGTTCCTGATGTTCGCGTTCGAAACATTGGAGCTGCTCGACGCTAAACGACTCGTTTAGTTCGTTAATGTAGTTCAAAACGTTGAGCACATAATTGCCACCGACTAGCGGCTTTGTGCCGTTCGTAAGGGACGAGGCCATGCCGTTAACGTCGACCCTTCGTACAGCGCTATTTTTCTCACCGAGACGTCTCGTTTCGAAAAGACAAATGTATCTGGGAAACAGAAAGAGAGGTCTAAGTTTCTGCGATACCTCCAAATGTTTTCTTATTTATCAACAGGAATGATAAAGACCTTCCACTCATTTGATGGACCAATATGGACTGTACAATGGTATTTCAAAAGTTAATATCTACAAAATATGTTTATCTGCAATGAACGTGTACCTTTTCGAATCACTATCTGAATTTCAAGAAATCGTATACATATACTCTGCAAATTGTAAAATATTTTGACAGTTTTTACTTTTTCTATGTACTCGGTAGACTATTTATATTTATGCTATTTCTAGATCAAGATAATATTATTGAGATTATTAAGACTGTCTTTCTTTCTTTATGAAATATATTTTGTCCTGTGTCTTCCGTATAATATTGGAAAAATTATACATATAAAAATTAAGTATACTTAAAGATTAATTGTATAATATATTGTAGACGCCTTAGATATTTACTAATGTAAAGATTTAAAAACTTTTGGAAAAACTATTGAATTATTTTCTTTACATCTTTTTAAACAATAATCACCGTTTTGTAAATTTTCTTAAATCTTCGCAATCCGTCATACACGTGTTTGTTGAATTTGTCTCAAGAATGCATGCGTCTCAAATGTTATCCGGTACTTTTCTTGTAACGTCGGCAAGTACAAGGAAAAGACCAAACGATCTTTTTTTCTTATTTTTAGTCCGTCCAGAGCTTGGTATCGTTGAAACTGTTTTCTAGGTATTATATATAATAGATGGATGCCAACAAAACTTTTCCACGGGTTGCTCGATTATAGAGAATAAATTGTATGTATATGTACATGATTCTATATTTTTAATCTATTTGTTCTCTCTCTCTCTCTCTCTCTTCCGTAATATGGAAACTCGTTGAACGATAACTTTGATGAACGATGACTTGAATGAGTATTCAGCGAAACATGTGTGCGGCTGTGTCCTACATTGAGATATGTTCTACTTAATTAGGAAGAGATTTTGAATTAGAAAAGGGAGATTATACAATATCTCATCAACGTATCGCGGTTACGAATTTTGTGGTTGTCCAAGTTGATTTACCGGCAGACATGCACCATCTGGTTAATTATCAGTTCTTTCATTCGCCGACATACGCTTTGAAAGATAAACCGAAAGCCAAGGTGTTTTCTTCTTTCTGACATGTAATTATCCCCTTCGTATCCACCGTGGAGAATCAAGTTCTTCCGCGAGAGCATACGCTCTTTGAGAAAGAAGAAATTATGATATGAGATTCCCGGGGAAAATTTTCTAAACATTTTTCGAGACGGAATATCGCGACTCAAGTCCTCCGTAATTTCACAATTCGCGTACGCTTTGAAGTACGAGATCCGTAGCTCGGATCGACTGTCAAACGGTTGCGATCATCCATCACGAAGCTCTTGGTTCGCGAAGATGCCACTTGGCAACTATTAGACGAAGCTCTTGGATATACTCGAAATCAATAATATCGACCGTCAATAGTCATTCCTACAGACGCAAGTCACCAACAGTGTTGGAAGCTGCGGCAACTCGAATTCTCCCATTATTCGGCAAGTACCTCTCATATATATAGGTGCTTCAAGATAGTGGTCCTAGAAGCATAGGGCAAAGGTGGCACCTACAGCGACCAAATATTCCAAGCTGGTTGTCTTGCATTCTCACACGAGTATGTAACACTCGCAATGTTCTTTCTTGGTACTAATTATCCATAAACCGTCATAAACACCATGCATTAATGTGTGAACAACACAATAATATAATTATCAGTTTAATGATTTCGACGGAATCAGCGAATCAATGTTGTAAAAAGCTTGCAAACGCTCAAGTTTTAATTTACGAAAGCTGTATTCTCTCTCGACGAGATTTCTCGAGAGAGCGTCTTCGTTTATCCAACGAATTAATGTCCAAGTTTCACTCGTTCGCAAGGTTTATTCTTTTGTTTTCTCTCTCTCTCTCTCTCATCATCTTGGTTCTTTGACCTTTTTCCGTTTCGTACGGAGCCACTTGTAGGAAACTTGTATGAGCACGTCATTCACAAATACACGCACGCATAAATGTCTCTTTCGAGAAAACCGAATTGACCTCTCTAATTCCGTATATTTCTATTTTCTTCTTGTTTCTTTGACAGATATTGTTTGACAAAGACACAACAAATCGGAAAGAAAAGTAAGACGTTAACCACAATACAGAGTTTTTACAGTTTAATAAATTTTGCTACATTTTCTATTCTCTATTTTCTTAGCTTTTTCGCTAGCCTGTTTGCTTCTTCCTCTCTTCTTTACATCTTTTTTAAAGCTCACTGCTAGAAAATTACCTGATTTAAACAACTCTAATTTTTTTTCGTCAATTTTTTAATACATTTATCTAGAAAAATATAATATTCTCTCATTCAAGGATCGTTAATCTCGCAGTTTTATCCTCGGTAAGGACTCGCACTTTCCCCTTTTTAATCTTGGAAACGATGTACCCAACCTTCTCAGCTTCCGTAATCTTGGCGAGAGACGCGTTAGTACTCTGGGAATAAGTTCCGGATCGCTAATTTAAAAGCGATTACTCAACGCGGTGTACTCAATGAGGGATCTCTATCGGCGATTTCGATGCTGCCTTCGAAATATTCAGAGGCAAATTCCTTTATTGCCCTTATTGAGAGAAGACGGGAGGGAGACAGAGATTGTAGCTAATAAAAGAGAATAAGTATATTGTGTGTAAATGGTATGGAATGATTGTATATAAATTATATAACATATTTTATGCCACAGAGCTTTTTCACGGGCAGGAGCCCGTGAAAAGATTCCGCGAGAATTTTATCATCCACGTACACGCCTGCACTTATTTTACATTATACATATAAGCATTCTTTCCCGAAGACAAATCCTTGGAATGCTTATTGTTAGTAAAGACACACGAAAAGAAAAAGACTTAACGGAAGTGACAATGACAGTCGAGAATGTAAGCAACTGCATTATGAAATTGTCAAGTTTTTTCGTGTGTTTCCAGCTTGATAGCACAATAGTACCATACCGTCGTCGCGTCTATCGGCTGACACGCGACTACTAGCCGGCGGCGCAGCGTGGCGACGACACGTGTTCCGGTTCCGATTCCGATTCCGGAACGAGCAGTTCACTACCGGTCATTCTCGATTGCTTTGGCTCGACGACACGCGAGAAGCGGTCAGCGGTCAACTTTATGATGGCTGCGTTCGCTAGGCGCAGTACTGCCAGACACTAGTCGGTCTGGCACCATTATTACAATATTCATAATTTTCGCAATAGCGATCTTATCGTTGTTCACTTACTCTCTTAAATTTGCACTGTTAAACATATTTAAGCTCTTAATTTGCGAAAAAAAAAAGTTTAAAGGCTCAACTTTTTTATTCGACATTTATCACGGCGCAAAGTAAAAACGTGGGATTTATCGCGGGATACTCGAATTGTTAAATAAATTAGTCGGACATGAGAGACGAATCTATACATATATATGTAAAACGACGTAAGAATGTTGTAGAAGAAATTTCACTATCCAATGTCTTTTGTAATATATCTTTTGTTAAATAGTAATTTGCAAAATATAATGACGTATCGGTCTCAGCAAATAGTGCTGCACGGTTTCACGCTCCGATACGCGGATTTTCTAGGGCCGATGCCTGGAGCCGACGATGACGACTGAGCTCTGCTACCACAGGATAGAACAAGGGACAAGGAACGAATACGGACGAGCATGCGCCACTGCTCGCGCGCGACTCCTCTCCACCGTTCACCGTCAACGGGTAGTCGGAATCGTCACCCCCGTCATTCCCCCTCAAGGAGCAGCGGATAACAAAGATTTCTATTTTAAACCAGGAAGAACCATCCGGATTGTGCTTCTTTTCAAGGAAATATCTACAACCCAGTATAACCACCGAGACGAAATGAGATTCACAACGATCTGCACATGGATTAGTTATGACATTTTCTTTCGACAAACTCTACTTACACACATTTCTACATTTTCCTCTAAACTAAATGACAACGTTTTAATTAAAGTATTCTTTTATTTATCCGCGTATTCAAGTATCCAATTTCAGATAAAAGGCGATAAAAGTGAGAAATGTTTCTCGTATATATAACCAATGTACGAGCACATGAAGATTTAATGAATATTCCGTAATAAAACAAAGTAAAACAAATCAATCAGTGTGCGAATAAATAACAAAATGAAAGGAAAAACCATTCAGGATACAAAATATTCATTTTCATAGTTTGAATTTGTTTGAAGCATTTGGTTGAAAGTTATTAATTCTACGTTAATGTTACAACGATCGAGCTGGGGTAATTAAAAAGATAAAAATGGTAATCTAGTAGAATATTTCAAGGTGTCTTGAGATTAAAGTTTTGTCCGGAATAGAATATGTATTTTATTTAATATAATCGAGTTTCATTATCATTTCACATTTAATTGAATTTAAAAACATATTAATTTCAATTAAAAGTATTCCATTTTACATACGTATATTAATATTTTATTTCGACATCTGCCATTAATTATACGAGAGGAAAAACCTAGTTTACAGATGTATAAACTAAGAAAGTTATTTATTTGTTACATAAATTTTTTAATTAAGAAAGACTAAAAACAATTATAGCTTACGAGAAATGATGTGTATCGACACGATCTGAGCATCCCGGATTCATAAAGTTTAAATCCCTCCCCTCTCTCTCACTCTTCATTAGTTTAAAATCATCGCTTTGCCTATTTTCACATCCGAATATTGACGCAACGATGGATTATTTGATGGGAGGGAGGAATGGGAGGGCTTTCGACAAACACAGATGACTTTCAAACTCAAAGTAATTCTACCGAAATAATAATGTAAAGGTAAAAGTCGACAATAGATTATTTTTACAAAAAAAAAAGGCAAAAAGATTGACAATACTCATTAGGATGACGTTTAATTTACATTTATAATACATATCTTTGACGTGCATTTAAAATGGCAAAAGTTTGACAAGTTAATCACATATCTGTGCGTTCGTCCGTTATTTATTTTCGTCAGTCGCTAGTACGAAAATTTCGCGGAATAAAACTGTCAACCCTTTGTCAGATTCGTGTACAATTGTCGATATCTGTCCGTCGACTTGATCGAGCCTGCGGCATATAGTCTGAAATATTCATCTCCTGCGAAATGCCATGCGTATATGTGAATATGAACAAAATAGCGTCTCGACTCACGCATGGATCAGGTGCACATTTTCAAAAAATATCGCATCTAATAAAATTGCTATTATGTGTACATTATGAGAAATTAATAGACTGTGATTGCATGTAATTTTCTTCTAATTAAAGTAAAAATTGTTAGAAACAAGGGGTATATGTGCATATAAAGCTGGAAATGGAACATTCCTACATGAATATCGAAAAGTTTAAACCGTCGGCATTTTGAAAAGAAATTATCCCTTCCTTTTCGTCCCCCTATCAGCTTATTTTTGCAACTTGTATATACCTATGTAGGATATAATTATAATACTTTTACTCCTGCTTGGAAAACACCAGCTCAGTTGTCAAAACTTTTACGTTTCCTTTAATTGCGAGAAATTGAAGATAGCAAACACTAACAATCAGCGACATTTTTTAAATAATTTTATCTATGTTGCTTCTTTTTTTACTAAAAAATGAAGTTTAAAGAAAAACTGTCCATGTAGATTACTATCTGTATAATCTATTGGCAAGTTTACTTGAAAAGACAATTTGGACTTTTTTCTCTCTCAGTTATATCGCTGATTGGAAAATGGTGTGTAGCAACAATATGACCTTGTGGTACACTTGTTGGGTCAACAATCAACAAGTTATCTTTATCAACGAGATCGCCTTGAAAAATATATCATATGTGTGTTTCATATACTATTCTAGATCCTAATATTATAAATTTGATCAAGTATTTTCTTTGAATGAAAGAATAAAATGTTTTGTTTCGATAAATTTGTGTGCTCGGTAAACCAGACTTGCTAAGCAAACGAGATGCTTATCTATACGATACGGTTAATGTTACCATTGAACACAATTTGTCGGCACAAATGTGAAATATTAAGAGTACGTTTTAATATATTTTTATACGTCACGTATTTGTATATATGCTGTTAGGGAGGTGTGTGTAATTAATTTCAAATAGGCAAGCGAAATATTTATTCTACAATAATAATATACACCATAATTTCCTGGGTAGGGGAATAAGTTAATCTGCCTATTCAACAATAATAACCGGCCACTTTTAGAAACCAAAATAATTGGATTGTTAATGAAAAGCTTGCAAAATAAATCCTTTATCATTATTCGTCTTACCTTTCGAACGCCTCTTGATGTGCTCTTTGCATTCGTGATGACGTGTTTACGAAGGAAAAAACTCACACACACAACATTTCGGTGATTGCACCACACCATGGGAAATGGATGAGAATCGCGTCATGGCACAACGTAGACTGACAATGAGAAGAAGTGGAAATTTCAAAGGGAAAATTGACTCGGTCGATGGGCCAGCAATTGGTCGATTGGCGCGCGCTTTAACGGTCAATCAACCAATCAGGTCTCCCTGTCTCCTCCGTATCGTCTGGTATTATAGAGTGTTGTAGAGTAATGTAGAGTAATGCAGAGTAATGTAGAGAATGCAGAGTATTAGGGATACATTGTTATTCACTTTTCAATTCTCCTCCATAGAATAACCGAGTATGGCGCACACATGTGCTTGCGAGCCGAGTCCTCGTTAACAAGTCACAAATTTAATACGTTATCTCGTAACGCGCACAGTTGGTTACGGTACTATGCGCTGTTTACGAGCGACATATTTTATCAGGGTCGCTGCGCCTCAATTATCTCTGTTAAATATTAACTATACCAATAAAGCACCGTCTTACGTTATTTCTCGCGGAGAACGCTCGAGTCATCAAGGCCGAATTACTGGTGTAGCCCATCTTTCCGTTTCTATGGATTACCCATTAATAAGTAGACTTTTTCTTCTCTTCATTTCATTAAAGCATATGCGCGTACGTACGATCGTCTTTATCATTTTTAAGCTTAAAAAATCAAGTTGGGTTACGTCACTTTGTTTACCTCATTGCGCAAGTCCGTTGCACAAGTGGTCCAAAACTAGAGTGGAAAGTATCTCGCTGCTGATTGGCTGACCGCCATGTTGAGCTCGTAGTGACTCCTTTTAGCGCTGCCGTCGCATACCGGACATGAGTTTACCGATCTTGATCTCACTCAAGAAAAGAGACGCTAATCTTTTCCTAACGGCAGTCGGTCCGGTCGGTCGGCAGTTCACTCGTTAGTTTTGTCGAAAGTATTAACACGTATATGTAATCAATATTGAGAGAAATTACCTTTTTTTCACAGATGTACAAACATCTTCATTTATGTCTATGTCATGCGATGTGACGATACGTTCGCTCCAATGATGACGGCTGATCGTGTCGACGCTTCTTTTACATTGAAAAAGGAAGAGTATGTCTGCAACGACAGCGACAGCGACAGCGACAGTGACAATATCTCATCTATGCCCTTACCGTCGCTCTCTAGAAATCATTCCGTCATTGTTGACGAATCCAACAATGACTTTTTACGTCTCTCTACAATGGCACGTTTGCATATATCTCGAGTTTAAAGTCACTCGAGTGACTTAAAATATCATTAATGTATATTTGCATAGGTCCGGACTGTATATTGGTCTTATCTTCACAAGTGCTTACTTAGTAATTATGCAACTTGTTGCAAACAAAGTGATGCCGACACATCAAGCATCCAAGTGAAAAAGTATACGGACCAAATGGAGCTGCATGCTGTCCAGTTGGCGTTGGAAGCTAGTCTATACAGACGAAATATGCTGAGAATGGTAAAAATATTTAACATATCCTTTACTCTCGCTGTAACAACCTGTTTGTCTTTGTAGATTGCAGATGTCAAGTCGCATACAGTCAACAAGAAGGTGTATAAGAAATTGGTCATATTTTTAGAAACACCTAATGACAGAATTGACATTGGCATACAAACAGATGACACGTCGATGGACTTGGAAGGGACAAATGTGTCGCCGTCGCAAGTTAACAATTTCGGCGAAAGCAGAAACGCCACGAAAGATTCTTGCGACGAGACGGATACGCATAGCGTTGCGAAAGAAGAATCTAACGAAGCTAGTCAAGCATTTGAGAGTCGGATCGATTCGAATACCATCGGAAATGAAGATGAACATTCCCAAGACTCCTTGTTACAACATATGGAGGATATGTTTTGCGAAAGCGACGATAGTAGTGATCTCACGAGATTAATTGAGAAACATTCTGGTGTTACTAAAGCAAATATCGATAAGGAAATCAACAAGATATGCTTGGAAGCGGACATTATTGCGAGCTCCAACCTTTTTGGTGTTCCAGTAGGTAATAGTGTTTCGAATGTACCAGCAAAGGCAAATACAAGTGAAGGGAAAATTAGCTTTAGTCGCTATAAGGAAATGCAAAGGAGATCCATTAAATCGAATTCATTAAATGAGACGCTATCGACAGAGAGCAAGCAAAAGCAGAAAGCAAATGCTATTTGGTTTGTCGAGCGTGTGCATCAAGTTTCGAAATTAAAAACTAAGATGACCGAGTTATCGCTCACTAATTATCGAAGATATGGTAGAGTAAAGGATAAGTTTCTTCATCTATTTGGGGAGTTTGAGGAAGACGAAATGATGCCGGATTCACCGATCTGTATAGAGGAACATTTACCGGCTTGCAAAGAAAGAATTGCACCTTGGATTGTCAAGTACTTGATGCCATTCTACAAAAAGAGAAGAATTAAAAACCGTCAGCTTTTCAAAGCTGTCGCAAAGTACATCACAGATAAGCTTATTATAGAGAATACATTTCCAGGTGAGTCAATCTGCCTTCTGTATTAATTTAAGTAGGATATTGTTTTCTAGTCTTAAAATATTCATCTTCTACATTTATATATTTCAGAACAAGAGTGCGTAAGTAAGTATATAGAAGGTTACTTCAGGAACAAGAAATTTATTAAGACTAAACAGGATATATATCTATAAAAGAATCTCTAGATATTTATTTAGACTTGTGCAACGTAAACAGGGTTGGGTAAGTTACTTGATAAAAGTTTCTACGGTTACACTTTTTTCTTTTCGCTAAAAATCCAACTAGTTATCGAGCAAATGTAACCGAGTTAAGTTACAGTTACCAAAAAAAGTAACCCAATCCTGAACATAAATTAGTGAAATGTAGAAATTACACTAATATAGAGACCATTATTGTCTTGCCCAACATTTTTCATGTATCAATTGTGCATTACACAATCAATATATGAATTATACATGTGTGTACGACAGTGTAAATATTCATGAATAAAACAAATTCTGCCATCATCTATACTGGTTGAAACGTCATTTGTTTATATCAAACGTTCCATGTTGACGCAGCAGCTACAAAAAATGAGGGAGTACATTTTACGGCATAATTCTTATGAATAATAACATTTTTTTATTTTACTCATTTCTTTTGTTATATAAACAGTATCATACGACATAACAGTAGACAGAATCAACCTATTAACATGTCAGAATGGTTTTTGCCAATTTACCATTTATTTGTTTCCTTATAAAGATGCTTAACTATACTTTTCGTGTAACAATATTTAAAGAGTATAACTAGAATGGTGGATATTTCCAAATAAGCATCCTGATTTGATATCATAGTACTGGAAGCTTACTTGGGTTTTTGCAAGAATATAGACGAATATTCGTGACTTCCAAATAAGATGTCAATGTAATGAAAACGCGATCTCGAGTGTGACAGATTGGTGGAAAAGGTATTTGCGATACTTTTTTTTTCTTTTCTTTTTATGGCGACTTATGTATTACGTATCTTTCCAGGTACATAGTTCTTATCTATTACCGGTTCCTGCAGAAACATATGCAAACATCGTTCGTTCTGTGCCAAGGGATGTCCAGCTATTCTGAAATATCAATAATTACATAATATAAACAGCTGTGTGTACACAATTTACTTATAGAAGCAAAAATGGTGAATAAAAATTTTAAAACAACGATCTCACGCATAGACATACAGACTGTGTAATTTCTCGTTGCGCGATAAATGCTCACTTGTTAACGAAAACCTCCAAGCCTTTTCTCCGATCTTCGATAAAGTCTTCCTCAAATATTCCATCGTCTCCACGAAAAGGCATTTGACGTTTCCACGCTTTCCCTGGTAAAGGTGGTACCACAATCTGCAATTTATAAGAGGAAAAAAAAACAAGAAATGATGTACGAATTCAATGTTGTAATAATAGAAATCATTTTAGGTGGAAAATTAGACACAAATTATCCAATTACACACGATAGTAAGGCTTATTAAGAGGAAATATATAATATTACAAGATTGATAATGTGATTTCGCGAGAGAGAACCTTACCTAGATTGAAAATGTTCAGAATAGCAGATTCGCATCATAGTAATTCAAACTCTTTTAAGCATAATTACCTCTCTCGGTAGAACTAACCTTACTATCTCTTTCTAATTCATTTCTCAGCCATTCAAAATCACTGTATCGTCTTCTTACTGTTGAGTCCTTAACTTTAAAGACTGGTAAGTTTGTCTGAAAAAAAAAAAAGAGTACGTGTCCTGGGAAATACACTCGCAACGTCTTAAAATATTTGCAATACGTACAATATGTGTATGCACAAAAGAATATATTTTGGTAAATTATTTATCCTTACTTTGCCAATGTTGCAACTTTGTTTAGAATTTATGGAAAACGTCAACAGAATGAAAATAAGAGATATTGGTGAGAAGATAATATTTATTCCGAAATGTACAGCAGAGAGTCTTTATCAATAGCGGATGATAGCGGGTACAGCCCACGTTGGGCACGATATTCGATGCGTCTGTTATGACGTTGCGTGCGTAAAGATGATTTCGGCATGACGAAAATGTGCCGACAATACGTACGCCGTTTAATACATAGAAAGGAAATTTTCGCTCCAACTCACCCTCATACGAACTTCATAATCGGTATATCGTTTCTTGCCGACGCCGTGCGTGATCGGATTAATCACGTCGATCTCAAGAAAATTCGCAGGCGCCGCATAAGCGTCATCCAGCGTTTGTTTTTTCACATTTAAGCGCCGTGTCGCGTCTACGGTTGTGTCGGCCATTTCAATTACAGATTTCAATTAAACACGCGTTCGTCTGGCCGAGCCTCTACAAAACACTACCGATATTTAGTGAATGTTGCGAAGCGCACCGCCAGAAACGTGCAGAAATGACAGCGCTTAGTAACTTGACACAATTCTCTCTCTCTCTCTCTCTCTCTCTCTCCCCCCCTTTTCTTCACCCTCCACTACACGTCACGTATTATACGCACCCTGTATGTTATGTACTACGTGCTGTCGCATGCTCCTACGTAAGTATAGAGATAATGCGACAGCACACGTTGGGAAATTCAGATGGTCGATAAACAATGTTTAATAATAAAAATTTTCTTTGGTTGGATAAAATATATACTATGTCTGTGGTCTATCCAGACAAACTTGTATAGCGCATAAATGTAGAAGGAATCTGATTGGTGCGTGCATACATGTTCACTTATGCGTAGACCCTAAGCCTTAAACCGGACCAATCACAGGCGATTATTCTTCTCAATATTGTAGATCCGGCCTTAGACTTAAGAATTTCAACCAATTGAGGGAAATGACCAATGCTGAAAATTCCGATTGGTTGATTATATATTTTTTATTTTAATCATTATACATGTATATAAAACCCTTTCCAAGTGTAGATGTCTTTTTCCGTCGGCTCCCCCTGTTCATCAAACCATCGTCAGCGTTAAATGAAAAATAACCCTTATTTTAAAAGACAATTGGACAAGTGCTTTGCATATTGTTTGCAATTAAATATTATTCCGTTATTATAGTGGATGTACATGTAGATACGTTCAAGGGATATTACAATCTTCTTACTCTATATTAGATATGTGCAAATTATATAGATTAACGAATATACTTGTGAGAAATTCATCTTTACATCCTCAACTTTATCCTTAAATAATCCATATTCAAATAATTTGCATATTTACTAAATCAAGTATCCTATAGTAGTATGTATTACATATTTTGCATTATTGGCGGAATAAAATTATTTTCTTTCAGCTAAAGTGACATTTTTCCATTGAATAATGTTTAAAATAATGATTCATATAGAACGTCTAGCGTTAATATCTCAATACGATCAATCGTACATTCATATTCTTGGCATTTAAAAAGTATAAAGATTGAAAAATTTCCTCGACAATAATTTATACGTGCATTTGACTTGCGCCACCAAGATGACGCAGTGTAGTTTATTCTTCCAAAAAGAAGTACTGTCCAGCTCTCTTCTGGTCCAAGTCCTATGGAAAAAAGATAATAATTGACAATTGAACATTAGAGAAAGTTACATTAACAAAAGTTACACATACCTTTACCGATTGATTTTTATTAATTCTTGGTCTGAAATTGTTGGGATCTCTTCTGAAAGTGATGCCCAATAGTTCGAGAAATCTATTCATACCGTTTAACAAAGACTGAGGACTATGAGCAGTGGTTGCTAAGGACGGTGTACCAGAAAATACTATTACACGATCAGCCAAGTATGTAGCCATGATGAAATCGTGTTCCACTACGAATCCTGTTTTCTTTGCATGTAATATAAATCTGAAGTGTAAATTTTTTTAGTAGCGTTGATTGCATCCCAGTACGCTCGTCTCTCTAGACGACTTATTACATACCTCTTGATGACCTTTGCAGCAACCAAACGTTGTTCGGAATCCAAATATGCGGATGGCTCGTCAATTAGATAAACATCAGCTGGCTTTCCAAGGCAAAGAGCTAAAGCGACTCGTTGTAACTCTCCACCAGAGAGATTTTGCACTTCTTGATCCATGATATCGTCAATCTTCAAAGGTTTCATTACGTCAGTTACAAATTGAGGATGCACGTATGCGTCTCGGACCTTCTCGTGTAACAGCTGTCTCACGACACCTTGGGATTTAGGGCTTATCTTTTGTGGTTTATAACTGATGTGAAGTTGAGGAATACTTTCTGCGAAGCAACAATTTCAACAATTTATCATGTGATATGTGATATGTAAACACTGCAAGTATCGTACAAATAAAATATACCTGATCCATCATCCGGAGGTAAGTTGCCAGCTAACATTCTGATAAATGTTGTCTTACCAGTCCCATTCTCCCCCAATAAAACAAGTATTTCCGAGTCGGTAAACTGCCCTTTCTCGACTTTCAAGCTAAACGATCCCATTGTCTTTGCCATAGCTGGGTACTCGTAGTGGTTCATGCGTTTCACTTCTTCCTCGGTGGCACTTTCTGCCACTTTGAACACGAGAGATTCTTCGCGAAATCGTAAATTTTCCGTAGGAACAAACCCATCGAGGAAAATATTTATTCCTTCTCTCACGGAAAAAGGCATGGTAACAACGCCGTATGCCCCGGGAACGCCATATAGGCAACAAATGAAATCGGACAGATAGTCCAAAACTGATAAATCGTGCTCCACTACTATTATAAACCTGTGGACGTGTTAAAACAAGTGATACATCAATCTAATAGAAACTAATCCTTCTTTTTCAACTACTCACTTGTCAGGATGAATGAGAGATCTAATAGTCACGGCAGCATTGAGACGCTGTTTGACATCTAGATAGGAAGAAGGCTCGTCGAACATGAAAATATCTCCGTTCTGGATGCATACCATTGCACAAGCAAATCGCTGAAGCTCACCACCAGAAAGTGCATCGATACCTCGATCACGTATATGTAGCAAATCTGCCAATGATTTACATTAGCGACGGTATGAAAATTTCTCTCCCGATACTCGATCCCCCTACTTACCAAGCATTTCGCATATTTCCATTTGATTCTTGCATTCGTCCTTTTTATCTAAAAGCTGCTGCACAGTACCTTTCACGGCTTTGGGAATTTGGTCAACGTACTGAGGTTTAATGAGTGCCTTAAGATCGTCTTCCAAAATTTTGGTAAAATAATTCTGCAGCTCGCTACCTCTGAAATGACTCAGAATTTCTGTCCAATCTGGTGGATCCTGCTCAAAAATGCTCAATCAATTTTGCTACGTGTACATTATAATATATGTTGTATACACTAGAAAACACAGCAATTACATACAGAATATCTCCCCAAGTTTGGCTTCTGCTTGCCAGCTAAAATTTTCAGAGCAGTTGATTTACCAATCCCATTAGTTCCTACAAGTCCTAGAACTTCACCAGGACGTGGAATAGGAAGTCTATGAAGCTTAAATGAGTTTTTCGAATAACGATGAGTCGTTTCCTTCTCTAAATTGCTGGGAAGATTGATGATAGATATCGCTTCAAATGGACATTTCTACAACAAACAATCTTTCATTCACATCAACGTTGAAAGTTATTTACTGTTGCCGCACAATATTTAGAGACAAGCATTGCCACAGGAAAGGTACGAGTAGTCTCTGCACTTTATTCCATTCCGTTCATTATCATTCTAAATAATGGCATGTTAGTTTTACTAGAAATGTCACTTGTACAAAACTTATTATACAATCAAATTACCTTGACACAAATACCACAGCCAATGCATAGTTCCTCCGAGATGGCTGCTATTTTACTGTTGGGATTAACTTCTATACAAAGTTTTCCCATTCGTACCACAGGACAAGACTTTTTGCATTCTTGCCTACATCGTTTAGGTTTACATTTATCGGAATTCACGATCGCTATACGGGTCAAACGATCCGTCTCCTCCATCGACTTCTTCGGCGGCATGGTGGATATGCTAATTTAGCAAAGAAATATAGCTCAATTATTATATTATATATATATATATATAAAGAACACAAGACAATCTTGAAAAATCATGTCATGTAAAATTATCAAGTGACAAAAACAGACAAAATATATAAATACACTTTGCAACCTCATTGGAGCGAAATTGAACAAGCAAAAGGAGAAAGAACGTCGAATAGGCGATCAACACATTGAATAATTCATTCAATTACCATACTGGGTGAATCTATTTTAATTATTGCTGTAAAAGCTGCCAACCCCGCGCTACTTCTAACCTATAACTCAAATCGTAAACGACGGATTCGAATGACGCTACCGCATAAAATATCAATGTCATTATGATGGATGCATGTATAGTTTTTAGAAATAATATGGTTCAATCCTACAAGCAATTTGTATACAAGAAACATGTTACGTCTATATGTACCGTAAAAAGTAAGTCGAAAACGTGGATCAACTCACAGGAAGTGATTCCAATCTCCAAATGACCTTACTAAACCGCGTTTCGATCTTTCGACAGGAACTTGATCTATTTCCACATTTCTACGCCAGGGTACGCTGAAAATCAGCTACGCTTTCACCATAGGTTAAAACGTATCAAAGATATGTGATCATGTTTAACATAATGGCCGTATCACTGGGTGCGTTCAGAATACATAG